AGAATATCTGATATTCATCACCGTCTTTGGCATGATTTTTCAAGAGGTCATCAAAATGAAGCATGATGGATTGTTAATATATATAAAAAAATGGTGGAACGTTACCACAACAATAATGTTAATACTGTTTGTTGTGGCTGCCATCTTCTGGATAGTAGGCTTTGCTAGAACAGGAGGGTGGTCAGTGGTGAATTATTCTCTGTCACAATTTGCCGAGTCCAAAGATGGCTATCAACTCTTGTTGCTTGGAAATAGCTTCTTCTCAGTGGCCATCGTTGCCAGTGTTTTTTATTTGTTCGACTTATGTCAGGTGAGGTCACAACGATGTTTTCTGGTTTGCTCAATTTTGCAAAACAACATTTTCGCAATGTTTTCCCTGATTTGCCCACCTTCAGGAAATATGGCTAGAAAACAATGTTTTCTGGTTTTCCCACTTTTTGGAAATATGGCTAAGAAATAACATTTCCAGGTTTGTCGACCAACAGGAAACATGGCTAGGAAACACTGTTTGTGCAAATAAATAAAATAATGCTTCCCACCTCCCTCCGTCTCCATAAATCAAATCTGATTTGTTTCTTTATCAAATTTTAGGTCAATCACGTTCTTGGTCCATTACAGCTATCACTATTTCGTATGCTTCAAGATGTTTTCAAATTCCTTCTATTTTTTGCCGCCATTTTTTTGGCATTTGCTATGGGAGTACGTAATCTCTACTCGTACTATCACAGCATCCAGGCGGAGATTGCCGAGCACAGCAATAAGACTGAAAATATGATGGCAGAAACAAATCATCCATTTTCCATGTAAGTCAAGGCAAAAATACATTTAAACAACACTACACTAACTTTATTTATGCTAAATAGCTGTATCAGTTCTAAACTGTTCTAAAACTGTTTCATTCGGGTTTGTGAGTGTGTGTGCGTGTCTACTGCTATCCCGTAAAAATAAAGTTAGTTTAGTTTAAGGTTTCCTCCTATAGTAAGACAAAACCAAGAATAGATGGCACTTACTGAACCTCCTGGGGCCGGTTGTATAAAAAAGTGATTAAAGTTAACTATAGTTAAGTGCGAACGTCATCCAATAAGAAGCGCCTATTTGAGAGTTAATCACTATTTAACTACAAAATAGTGATTAAAAAAGTGATTAAGAGTTTTATACAACCGGCCCCAGGGAGAACAGTTTGGAACTGATAAAGCTGCCCTCTGGGAATAAAACTGGTTTCATATTATTCTGACACTGCAATCGACTAACGAAAAATTCGTTGGCTCGAGCGGGATTTGAACTCGCATCTTCGGGTATCTAGACCGCCGCACTACCCATTGAGCTATCGATGCAACGGGGATTGGTAGCGAGTCTTATCCAATTTAAGTGCACGAAATATTTTCGTGACGACTTAACGCTTGTCTTAGAGGACGCGCAGCGTTTCAATTCAAATCCCGCTCGAACCAACGAATTTTTCGTTGGTCGATTGCAGTGTGCGAATAATATGAAACTAGTTTTTCGTATCTCTGAGGATGGTTCTGTGAATAAAGTTAGTTGAATTTTGGCCCTTATGTCCCCTCTTATTTGTGGAATCAAATTAACCTAACACACAATTGAACATTTTTAGATTTTCCAAATCAACTCACAGCATGTTCTGGGCTCTCTTTGACAAAACAGACCTGGAAGAATTTGACACAAAAGATGGAACGTTTGAAATCACACAGGGAACTGCAAAAGTTTTATTTGGATTGTACTCAATTTGTGCTATCATAGTCGCGCTCAATATGCTTATTGCAATGATGGGTCATTCCTATGATTATATTTCGGTAAGAAGAAACTAACTTGATTTAACCTGGAAAAGTTTTATATTGCTCTCCTTAGATATCCAGGAAGGCCCGCCTTTATCAGCCCAGGGTTATTACCTGAAAATCTGAACTAAACTAACTTTATTTATACTGGATAACTCCATCACATCTAAACTAGTCTTCTTGGAGTTCAGTGACTCCAAGAAGCCCAATGAGGCAATGACTAATGTCAGTGACACTGGATAGCTCTGTGGAGGCCTAGTTAGGGTCATCCCTCATTGTTCTAGTGTTTCTACAAGAGGAAACCAGACTAATTTGTTCAGTAATAACAAATTGAATTCTTATCTGAAAATTGAGTGTTTCAAAATCATATTTTGATTAATAAAAAACACATCTTCACCTCCCCCCCCCCCTCTAAACCACACGACTCGAACAACGGCAACTTGAGTTGCATTTTCTCTATTTTTAGCAAGATGACGATATTCAATGGAAATTCAGTCGCACTCAATTATGGTTAGAATTTATTGACAAAAGAAGCACACTGCCAGCACCTTACAATCTCCTGCCAAATTTTCACCTTATTTATGAAAAGGCGAGTTGAGTTATTGTTTTCTAGCCATGATTCTCAAAGGTGGGCAAACCATGAAATATTGTTTCCAAGCCATGTTTTTCAAAGGTAGACAAACCAGGAAAAGCCATGTTTCTCAAAAGTGGGCAAACCATGAAATATTGTTTCTAAGCCATGTTTTTCAAAGGTAGACAAACCAAGAAAAGCCATGTTTCTCAAAGTTGGGCAAACCAGGAAAAAAATAGTCGTCAGAAACATTGCCTGTATAGTAAATTAGATCTGAGCACATTACTTAAGTATACATACAGGTTGAAGGTTGCAAACTAAGAAAACAATTTTTTTTCAGCTTAAAAAAAGAAATCGCGTGGCAATTGGAACAGATCAAGAGGCGGTACAGTTCCTTTCTTTCCCTTTTCAAAACTCCCAAAACTTTGTGAATATGTTTGGTGACACACAAGTAGAAGCCCTAGTCGAGCATATATTTATCGCTTTTTTTAGAACAAAGGTGCAGGCTGTGTCAAGTATTTTATAAGATACTTCATAACCTAAGGTTCATATAGCAAACTAAGAAACATTGTTGTAAGCACATTGTTTACACCAGGAAACATTGCTTCCTAGCCATTTCCTGACGATGGGCAGACCAGGAAAAATTGTCAGAAACATGAGTAAATTAGACCCAAGTACATTACTTAGTACACAGGTTAAAGGTTGCAAACTAAGAAAACAGTGTTTTTTTTTAGCCTACACGAAATCGCGATCATGAAGCTTCCGGAATAAATGAAACAGGCGAAGGGACATCACAGGAGGTATTATTTTTCTTTTTCCTTTTCGAAACGTTGTGAATATGTTTGGTGGAAACACCAATATTAAGGCTGCTAATGCCTAATGGCAGACTAAGAAACACTATTGCAGAATCATTGTTCCCTAGTTGCGGAGTCATTGTTTTTCAAAGGTGAAAAAACCGGGAAACATTGTTTCCTAGCCATGTTTCTCAAAGGTGGCCAACCAGGAAACGTTGTTTCCTATATGCATGTTTCTGAAATATGGACAAACCAGGAAACATTTGCCAGAAACATTTGCCCATAGAGTAAAAATTACGTCTGAGTACAGTACTTGGTATACAGGTTGAAGGGTGCAAACTAAGAAAACAATGTTTTTTAGCCTACACGAAATCGCGATCATGAAGCTTCCGGGATAAATGAAACAGATAAAGGGACAACACCGAAAGAACGCGAGGTATTTTTTCTTTTCCTTTTCGAAACTTAAAATTGTGAATATGTTTGGTAATTATGTGGAAGCACTAGTCATGTCACAGAATAAAGATCAGTAACAGAAGGATCACTCAACGGTACAACGTGTCCTCGTTTTTTTATGCAAAAATATGCAGTTTACTGGCCAGAAGGCGGAGCAGCCAGCCAGTACAGCGTGTTTATTGGCCAGAAAATGTCATTGACTGGCTAGGAAAATGGCGGCCAACATGCGTAATGCGACATACACGAGGACAGAAACGTCAAAGCTTCCGACGTAAGTGGCCCTTCTGTATGGATCTGTATGGAGCGAAGCTGCACAACAGAATGGGAAAAGACACAAATACGCAATACGTTGTGGTGCCACAGTGGTCAGCACATGGCTGATTTGCCTTTCACCTCAAAAAGTAGAATCGATTTCGGCGATACGTTACTCCTCCCCAAGTCATTTAAATATGCGTGTATATTTTTAACATTTTAGCGAAGAACAATAATCGAACGTCTGGTACGTCGGTATCTCCATTCTCAAGAATCCCAAGGAAAGAATGAATTGGGAACTTTGAAAGACATCGAGAAAAGACAACATGAAATCATGAAAGTTTTGAAAGAAGTCCAAAAAGGGAACGCTTCGGAATATTTCTGTTAAACTTGAAACCAGAAAGAACACTTTAAACTAAGACATTCACGATATACTGGGAGTCGTAAACTGTAGTAAAAAGCCAATGTAAGGCTTCTAGTAGACCCCTATAAACCCTAGGCTATAGTCCTGTAATTAATACATACATTAATATATACTTAGAAAGCCAGAAACAAATTTTATGAAAAATTGGAACAGCTTATCAAGTAAAGCTTAAATAAGCCTTAAAAAATTTAAATGTATCCTTGACGGCACCGGATTCTTCTTCTAACGTTACCTTAGTAAATGTGATTTTTAAATTTAAAACTATTTAGTGCATGATAATTTATATAGTAATAATTTTGTTCTATTTATAAGGCTAGTGTATATTTCGTGTAATACTTATTTGTCTGAACATATAGCTTTTTTAATATTTATAAGTAATTAAAATACTCATTAATAATGCATGACGTAAATTCAAAAGAAAAGAATGTTTTATCAATATTTGTAAATCGGATAAAGATTTGTCCTGATTTACATAAACTTCAGCTCTAATTTTCTCGGCTTAGACAATGTTTATTTTTAATTTATTTTTTTTTAAATTACTTCGGCTCGAGTTTGTATATCAGAAAAAGATCAGCTGCTCAAGTTTTAACTATAGCACTCAGTGTGATACATGTAATACATGGCCCCTTGGAAAACAAGTGCCTATGACCCCTGAAGGATTACCGCTTTCAAATATTCTTAAATAATAAATAATAATAATTCCTTTTACAAAACCATATAATTATTTGCATTCCGTATAGAATGAAGATTCTTAATGAAACTTCTTAACACCACCTTAAGTTAAGGAAACTAGTCCACAACGTAACCTTAATCAGTTAACAATAAAGAGACTTCTTAAAACGCCAAATCTTCTTAATGTTACCTCAACTCAGATTTCCTTTCAGCTTGGTACAAAGTGCCGGTATCGTTTAGAACATCGGAGAACTGTGTGCATATACGAGAAAAATGCCCACCCTCCCAAAAAATCTTCCCGCACGATGCACAACAGTAAAAGAGTTCGATTTTATCCAACATGGCCTCGGGCAGTGTCTCGATTTTGAGTCGCACACCACTGCGAAGTGTTAATGTGTTTACGTCTAACGGAGGCAGGAGAGATGAGGTCTTTTTCGAAAGATTGGTGGAGTGCTGGCCACCCTCCACGCCGCGATTCTCGTGTTTGCTGTCATAGTAGTTAATATACGCTTGTCGCATTAATATCGATCCTACCTTAATGTATTCATTCCCGTTGCAAACCTGAAAGAAAAATAGAAGACATGTTGGCGGTACAATGTTTTATTGTATGGCTTTTCAAAATTCTCTATTCTGATTGGTTGACAAGCGGGCCGTAAAAACCCATATCCGGACCGTGGTCCGTATTTTCCGTATCTGGACCGGTGTCCCGGATGTCGTTTATCTGGCGGGAAATTTTTGCTTCGCAAACAGAAAAAATGTTTGCTTTTTAATTTTCCAATTGTGTGTCATTAAAATTTACAGATAAAAATTTCAAACAACCAAATTGTTTTTGATTGAGCATGCATGCCTACCGTATATTGTTACCCAGTGAAACTGACGATAGCCGATTTAATTCGCGCGAAAAGCATATGCTCACAGACTCAGTTCAGCCATACAATAAACCGATTATTGACATCGCTTGTTCGGTCTGTACTGTGAAATATCAGACCTCTGTTTTTGCACGGACCTCGCTCCTTCGTCGCTCGGTCCATACTAAAAGACTTCGGTCTGATATTTCACAGTACAGACCTCACGCTCGGTCAATAATGAATAAGCCGTTATTATTGCATGTAGCTTTTTATTGCATGTATCATTCAGGCCTAGAGAATATATTTCTCTTTCTGGCAACAAAATCCAAAACTAAAATCTCATGTGCAAGTCAAATATATGTAGATTTCAATGTAGATCAATTTCAAGTAGCAAGACTGTCGACAAGCCGTCAACAAGTTGTGTTCCCACTGCTTGTCCAAGTTGTCAACAAGTTTGGAACAAGCTGTTAACAACTTGTAACAACCTTGTTGATATTGTCAGAATTGTTGCAAGGTAGTTCCAAGTAGTTACAGTCATGATATAACAATATTGTTACAACCTTGTGTCGTCAACCTTGTTTCATTCTTGTTACATTATACTGTATCATGACAGTATCAGAACAACCTTGTAACAAGTGTGATACTGCGATCAATCTTGTTATAACAACTAGGAACAAGCAGTGCGAACACAACTTGAGGACAGCTTGTGAACAGATTAGTAATAACTTGTTTATAGACCTGTACCAACTTGTCCATTTTTATGTGTGTGGAATACTACTTACACTGGTCACCGACGCTGAAAAATCTTACCTGGCATCGACTGAATACATCACTCGTGTTTACTTGGATATTAAAGTGTTTGAAAACAGCCAAGATTTGTTCTTTGGCATTGCCAGCGGGAACACACATACACTGACCAAGTGGAACTTGAGAACGTAACTGAAAACAACAAAAATAACAAGTTGGTAAAACAAAACCACAGGGAAATCTAGGACACTGCTCGCTGGAAATCTCAAGCAGCTGCAGGAAATTTGTTAGATTAAAGATTTGCAACTTGAAAATTTGCTCAACAACTCATGGTAGACAGATATCTTTCCCTAAATTTAAGACCATGGTGAACTACACTAGAACACTATGTTTAGGCACAAATTTAAAATGTAGTCTGTAGGAAATTTGTATCTCTACGTATATAGTTCTCTCAGGAAGAAAATAATTTTCTCCAATCCTTACCTACGGGGTGCTTCTTTATTTCAAACACTTGAAACATTTTATTCACATTTCATTAATTTAAACATCAAGACAAATTTTTATTCTGTAAACTTACAGTAAAATATGGAGTCCCCGTGGTTAGTATGACACGATCTTCTCTTCTCGCAATCTTAAAGAAAAATGCAAATAATAATTTATGTATAATGTTTGGTGGTCTGTAGTAAGTGCATGCACTTTGCATCTCTTTGACAATGGTTCTGTTATATATGCAGTTTCTGATTATAATTTCCACCTCAATCGCGTATATGGGAAGATCCAATCATCGCAGATGTTCCTCATGAACACAAGCAAAAATCTCACAACTTGTCAACAAGATGTGCTCGCAACAGGCTTGTAGCAAGCTTGTCAACAAGTTGAAACAATGCTGATATTTTATCAAGTCGCTACAAGGTTGTCACTCACAACTTGTTGACAAATTGTCGAATTGCACGACAATGATAATAAGTTGTTGGAACAACTTGTAACAAGTCTGTTGAATTCAACAATCTTGTAGCAAGTTGCCAACAAGCCGTTGACAACTTGTCAGCAATCTGGGAACAAGCAGTGCGAACACATCCTGTTGACAAGTTCTTGTAACAGCATTGCCACATGTCTGCTGCAGGTTTGTTACAACTTGTGCGTTTTTACGTAGTCAGAACAGGTGGGAAATTTGTCTGAGCATGCGCGAGTAAAATGAGTCACGCAATTGTGTGGAATACACGCAACGCGTGTTTACAAAAAAGCACAATCGTGTAAATATTGCAAAATGTTTGAACAAAATAAATGACTGTTTTATGTTGAAAGAGTGGGCATGATACAAATTAATCATACAGAACTTTTTAGTGACGTTCTATTTTAGTACCCTGCCATTGTCTCTGGTCTGTCCGTGTGCATTCGATCTGAAACAGTTGCTACTTTGCTGTCGAAGAATTTCGAATGTTTACATGAAAATAGAGGCAAGTCATGCATTTTACAACCTCTTAAACTGTATGAGCCCCTATTTTTACGCTTATACCTAAGATATCAAATAAAAGTACATGAAACAGAGAACATTTGTAGAAAGTTTTATCGTGAGGCCACGGCCAGTTTTTAAAATATCTTTATTTCTGTTCCGGTCATCACCAAAATTACACAAAAGCCGGGCTTGAATATACAACAAATTTTGAATCGCATCAAGCACAAAAATACTTAACGTATAACCAAAATATGCTCATGAAGTCGAAATTAATAGCTAAATTTTCAAACTAGACCCTTCTCGAAGCGGTTTTCATGAAGGAAGTTCACATTTCGGCCTTTGATTCTTGGCAAAAATTTGACCATAACACGTGCGAAGCAACTGGGTCTCAAAGACTGAACTAAAACATTGTGAGCCCCTATTTTCCTGACGATCTGTTTGATACCTACAAACGCCGAAAACTTTTTTCTTTTCATTTAGCTATATTTGAAATTGAGGCCACGGGCTATTTTTGAGAAAATACAGTTCAAAGTCAAGCTATTTTTACATATTTTCAAAATTTGTCAAATTTCGCGAGCCTGTATTTTGAACTTAGACAGCTGAAGTTACATTAAGAAACATAGGATGGAAAATTTGAGGCATATAAAGTTAATTTCAACTTACATTTCATTCTCAAATCACGTCTTTCTTCGTTTATTACGGTTTTAAACAAGCCATAGATCGACGTATACGGTATTTACTCCCATGTTCACGTCGCCATATTAACTTCTTCCAATCACTCGATTACAAAACAATCATCCCAAAACAAAGAATTCATGATCGACTTTTAAAAGAATAACCAATAATTTGCAAATCGTTGAATGGAAAGCAAAAAATCGTCAGCTAAAACAGCTTCTTGCTAACTTTCTGCTTTGTTTTGAATGTAAATGCAATGAGCTTTGTTTCTGCCCGCAATTTTTTGGTCAGCGACGACAAATTTCCCACCTGTTCGTAGTCAGGTTATCTGCTGTGGTAACACAAGGCGGCTCTTATATCTGGTATAATATGGATATGGCAGACCTATATCCAGTACAATAGCACATTAAATAAATATCGAAAATTAAAGCGAAATTAAAAAATCACTGCATACGACAGGAATCTGACCAGGTGGATATTATTGATAAATATGGATAAAGCATTACTGTACATATCAGTCAACTACCTTGGCTGCCCTATCATGATCATCTTCATTCGCTAGCATGACAACATCGACACCACAGCATCGCAAGTATCGTCCTAAACCTTGAAGCATGTTGTCCACGACCACACGAAAACTACGAGGAGAATTGGGCGAGCCTTTCATAGCTGGTACGTTCAGTTGCTCCTGTGAAACATGGGGGAGAAGTTTTGGAACATAAAAACATGAGATCGTCTTAGTGTAATTATTACGAAGGCCGCATTGGCCAAAAGGGGCACTTTTGTATATGGCCCAAATCAAACGATTTTATGCCGTTCATGAGCCGAACGAAAATGTTTGAAAATATGCAGTCTCTATGACGTCGGAAATGGCCATTACAGAGTCTTTACTACTGCAAAAAGGGCACTTTCTTTTCAGCAAAAGAGGGCGTTTATTCAAGAAATATTTTTTTAATTCTTTAAATGGGGCACTTTAGCCCAGAAAAAAGGGCACTTTTTCACATTTAAAAAAGTGTGTGGGGGGGGGGGCACATGCCTCCATTGCCCCCCGGTTCCGCGGCCCCCGAATGTAAACACAATCCAGACGCAATATAAAATGTTCAAAATCTAAATAGTTTAGTAGTTTAATATTATATTAAGAAGCATCATAGCAGAAAAACTAACCAATTCAACGGTAGAAGTTCCAGGCTTTGGCTGTTTGATAGGCTTCCCTTGTCTTCTTCTGCAAGTAAAAAAGATGTTTCCTCGAGGTTCAGTAATGTTGGTCCAGTGTTCCTACTGGAGATCTTATTTTGACTTCGATTTGAAGAATAATATAGTACGGTTTTTTGAACTGATAACTTGATTCCGAAGTTGATGAGAGGACTGGGGACGAGTGTTAAAAAGTGCCCAAATTAAGAAATGAACCAAATCACTAAAAAGACCACCTCAAAATTAGTAAGTATACAAAGTTTGAAGACGTTTACATGAATACCCTTCGAATTAATAAGCTTTCGAAAATTCTGAAATTACTGATTAAAAGATTGTTTTTTGGGACGCGCGTCCCAAAAACAAAATTACAATACATTTCATAGTAAATATCACGATTTTCGAAAGCTTATTATTCGAAGGGTATTCATGTAAACGTCTTCAAACGTTGTATACTTACTAATTTTGAGGTGGTCTTTTTAGTGATTTGGTTCATTTCTTAATTTGGGCACTTTTTAACACTCATTCCCAGTCCATTCATCAACTTCGGAATGGCTAATTAGCTGGGGAAGGTGGTATTAAAACTGTTTGCAACCTTCATGGCTATTGGATGTCAATAGTCGCCGTCTTGGCTTCACTTTTTTCATAGGCCCAATGACTGAAATTCTTACTCCAGATATATATATATAGAGCTCGCCAATGTGCTACCAACACCTCTCATATCAAGTTAAAAAGTATACAGTACTTCACCTGCTTCGCTTTGGAAACAACCACGGAAGTCTTGGGCTGCATTCGTTCAAATCAACCACAATGTTTCCTTCAATCATCCATTTCTTCAACACCTCAAACACATCGATAAGACATCGAGCATCCAGAGCTTGTGAAAGGCAAACAAACATATAGTTCAAATATAGTCGAAGAGTTTCGGAGATGGAAATTTCGAGTTTGAATTCTAAACGCCCTGAAAGTTACGATAATTCCTGTCCTGGTCACATACCTGCATATTCGACCTGTTTCGTTAACAACGGTCGCTGTTCCCAGTCTGACAACTGATACGTCTTATCCAGAGGCAAGCCAAGACACTGTTGGACCAACAGGCTCAAACCCTTTTCACTTAAATGCCCAAAACTCGTTAAAGACTGCGTGGTTTTGTCCACTTTGATTTTGATCACTGGTATCTCAAACAGCTAAAGAATAGAAGATAACAAAATTTATAATAACTTTACTTCTACTAGTCTAAGAGTCGAACTTATCAACTAACACAAAGCTATCCAGTAAAAATAAAGTTAGGTTAATTAGTTTTCCTCGTGTAGTAACACTGGATCAACAAGAGATGGCCCTTACTGAATCTATAGAACGAACAGTTTAGAACTGATAAAGCTATCCAGTATAAATAAAGTTGGTTTTTGTTGTTGTTTTTTTTTTTTAATTCGCCCAATTTAATTACAAAAATTTTGATTATTATAAGTAATAGCATGGCTTGAGGGAGATTAGTGATTAAATGGCCCCGTAACCCGAGGCAGGTTTGCGGAATTCCCGAGGGCGAAGCCCGAGGGAATTCCGCAAACCTGCCGAGGGTAAGGGGTCATTTAATCACTAATCTCCCGAAAAGCCATGCTATTAGTTTGTAATAGCATGGTTTCGCTCCCATTTAAAAATGGACAAACATGCCCTACTTGGAATCAGCGTATTTAAGCTAAAACATTTGCTTCATTGCTTGTGGGATGTAAAAGCTTGTTGCACATGCGCACTTTTTACGCTTTAATCGGTTACGCATGCGCAATCTATCATTTAACGTACCACAACAAAACGCTAAATATATTAGTATAAAATTGGAGACTGCACGAACGTAATTTAAATGATGCGGCAACTCAGGGATCGGATGATAGACTATTGACGGCTCTGAGCTAACTGTTGCTGTTCCTTGCACGATTATGTGCGTGAGGCACTTGCCTAATGCGTAGTCGTCAGGGAGACAAAGGTGTGACCCTTGGTAACGGGCGATTAGAACTAATCGCCCGCTACAGCGGGCGATACGTGATTAAACGTCCCTGTTGAAACAAAAGAAACCCGGGCAACTATGCTATTATTTCAATAATTGGAAAAATGCGATTTCGAACGGCAATTATAAAATAACATGTATATAACGCGGATCAGGCCATCCAAACGCGGAAACTTAAAGTGAAAGTTTTTTAAAGTGAAATTTTAACACGGAAAGTTGTTATTTTATAAAACAATTACTTATGATGGTTTCCGTGTTTGGATGGCCTGATCCAAACACTTGGCAATGTTGCTCGAGTTCACTTGGGAATGTAGCTCGAGTTTCTCAAAATCATTCGCCTTCGGTTTGTGCTTCGCACACTTTTCTTAACTCTCGCAACATTCCCGCGTGTTTGGATCAGGCCATCCAAACACGGAAACCATAAAGTAATTTATATTTGTATTGGTTATTTTCCTTATACTGATACCAAAGAGTATCATTGGACAGCTAAAAACTTGAATTTTGTTTCCGTGTAAAGGGCCATGCAAAATTTGTTTTATACGGGGCCGGAGCAAAAGGGGACGAGGCACATACTTTTTTTTAGCTGAATATAGAAGCAGGTCAAACAGATTTTTCTGCCTTGCAACTGTATAGAAACGGCGCACAAAGTTTTCTCAGTGCCAGAATCTTCGTCAGTACGTGCCAGAATCTTGGCCAGCGCCAGAATCTTCATCCGATGAAGGAGATAAAATAACAACAAGTGAGAGGCTAGGGCGCGGTTTATTCTCTTTATGAGAATTGAGAAGTTCAGACCCGCAGGGGTCGCAATGTCAGACTTCCCGCACATTTCAGCGATTTCCTCTAGCTGAACATGGTAAGCAACTCTGCAGTAACCACAGCTGCACAAGCTTTCTTTAATGACAGTAGTGCGGGACAGCAACTTTTTGAAAGTTTCGAGCGGGGCTTGCTTTTTTTTTAACATTCAAAATTGATTTGCTCCGTCCCGGGGGTACAATAAATTTTGCATGGCCCTAAGAATATTATCCATAAACTTAGTATCTAACGCACGCGAACATGCTAAAGTTGAATTATCTTTTTTACAGCTAATTCAAAAAAGGTTGTCCTTTGAAAAACCTTTTGAAACTCTAAACCTTGAACCTTAAACTCTAAGCGTGCAAAACATCATTTAATCAGTTTAGCGGGAATCATATGTGGGGCCCATTTCTTAGATACATGGTAAATATCTGCTTACGAGAGCAATACACTGATTCACAAAACTTGTGCTCCCATTAAGCTTTGCGCGCTCACAGTTTAAATTGCCTATATCACCTGTGGGACCTTTATGGATTTGAAAAGAGCGTAAAAAGTAGTTAATAAGTCCAGAAGACTTTTTTGATTTAGTGCAATAATTTCGAAGATACAGGCCTCTAAACTGCCTACAGTTCCTGAATCCCAGGCTTCTATGCACAATGGCCAGTTTCGAAAAAGGCCAAATTCAATAGCCGTGTGGGACTCAGGAACAGTCCGTTGTTTAAAGGCCTATATATATCCTAAAAACTGTTGCACTAAATCAAAATCAATTTTCAACTTACTAACCAACTTTCAGTACGCTCTTTTCAAATCCATAAAGGTCCCACAAATGATCTAGGCACTTTAAGGTTTAGAGTTTCAGGTTTTTCAAAGGACAACCGTTTTTGAATCGGCTATATACGCACCGTACATGCATCAATGCATGCAATGCTGACGTGACAGAAATTATAAAACAACAACCTCAACTCCCGGCGGTCTAGTTTGTAATTCATAACTTTTTTAATGTGCATGTGTTTACGAAGTGGTATATCAAAATCACAACTAAAACCAAAACCGCGTCCAATTTCGCCGTATAGATTTTCCACAAAAAGGGCTAGAAACGCCTATATTTGTACTGCTCAGCCCTGGTCACTTGTTCGGTTCACTTGTACTACTGCCCAGCCCTCGCCCGCTTGTTCCGCTATCTTGGATTTTTCATTTTTGTCACGTCTCGTTCTAGTCTTCAGAATGAGGAGTCGGCGATCTATGCCTCCAATACAAACTACTGTATTTTCTTACAAACTATTTTCTTACAAACTTGCAAACTATTTTCAGTACTATAACCACAGGCATGCAAAATATATTTCAAACGCGGAAGAACTAAATATTAAATTCCAGCTGCATATGAGTGATATTTCCTTGTAAGAATAAACATCCAGACTAATATGATATCACGTACTTGTTGCAGATAAACGTACTTAATGAAATTATGTGCTGAGTGGTTATATTTATTTTTTAAGGTAGTAATATAACCACTCAGCACGTCATTTCTACATTGGTACTACCTACACTGGTACAGACAGTTTTAGTACTTAATGAAAGCTCTCCGTGATTGTGCTGCTCATGTGTTGTAGCTACTAAGATTAATCAACAATACCATGCACGATTACAAAATGTGTTACTATGGCGGTGACTTCCCAACTAGTCCGAAGGTTCACTATTCCGAAGGTTCACTACTCCGAAGGTTCACTACTCCGAAGGTTCATTAGTGCAAAACATACGCTGGTTTTGAATTGCAATTACGTGTTAGGCTTGGCTGCTTCGCAGTAAGCATTTTTCGTACCTGCATACACGCACGGAAAAATTTAAATCCACTTGAAAGTCTTTTGTCCACTTAAGAAATAATTAAATGAATAAAAGGATAGCATTTAGTTTTGTGTTTGATTTTAAATGTACTTTTCAAGTAATTAATTTATAGTACTTATACCGGTATAAAATTTAGAAAGATTTAAATTTGTCCAAGTGTATATATGTACGTGAAAAAATGCGCAACTTGAAAGCTGCCGTAGTCATTGGACATTGATCAAGTTGCCATTTTTTCACGTACATATATATATATATATATATATATATATATATATATATATATATATATATATATATATATATATATATATATATATAGAATTTCGCTTACCTCAAAATTCCGCAACAGTCTGTTTCATCAGTAAAGAATCATCAGGCGGTATCTTTATGATATTGAGCACTCTTTGCGTTTCGTATACACAAACCTACTCGTATATATATATATATATACTATATATATATATATATATATATACACTCGGAAAAGTTTATATATCTTTCTAAATTTTATACCGGTATAAGTATAAGAAGTACTTTAAAAATACGTTTAAAATCAAACACAAAACTAAATGCTATCATTTTATTCATTTAATTATTTCTTAAGTGGACAAAAGACTTTCAAGTGGATTTAAATTTTTCCGTGCGTGTATATGCAAGTACGAAAAATACTTAACTGGGAAGCAGCCAAGTTTAACACGTAATTGCAATTCAAAACCAGCATATGTTTTGGACTATAGTGAACCTTCGAAGTAGTGAACTTTCGGAGTAGTGAACCTTCGGACTAGTGAACCTTCGGACTAGTGAACGTTCGGACTAGTGAACCTTCGGACTAGTAAACCGTAACTACTATGGCACATTTGGCACCTATATATACTGTATATTCTCCTCAACAGCTATAGGTTTACAGTGAATTTGCGAAGTGCTGAAAATGCACAGACACAGTGTTCTCTTTTTGTCACAAAACGAAAATTTAAAATTACTTAGGCCTAGCTCAAACATCGCGCTTTTCATGTGCCGAACGCATTAAAAACAATATCTAATCAGCTGAAATGCCTCATTTATATCTTTTGTTTCTAATGCGTTCGGCACATGAGAAGCGCGACGTTTGAAACAGGCCTTATTCAAAGTTATGATTAATGGGATTTTAACGAATTTGCTTACGATCGATTTACATTTACACTACACAAGTTTTATCTCACTTTCGCAAGCAACCTGTTTACAACTTGAGTTGCACTGGGTAATCCGGAGCACCCAGATCACCTACGACAACCTACGTAAGCGAGTTATTATGGCGCGTCGAACCCGTCGTAATCCTAAAGTTCTAGCTGAAATAAGCAAGCGCTTTTTCGCCTCTGAGATCTCGGGTTCGCTTCTCGCTATGGACTCGTGTACTGCAGTGTGAAAAGAGTCAGTCAACGCTCGGCTACCGAAACTCGAAAGTCGTGGGTTTTCTCCGGGTTCTTCGGTTTCCTCCCACAGGGAAAGTTAACAGAGTGGGTTAAACACGTACAAATGTTGTAAAGATAAAATAGTTGTGGGCTAAGTCACGTAATTTGGTAAGTGTTTAATACCTGATGTAAAGCGCATCACATCCACATGCCAGAATTTGCGCTATAGAAATCTTAATCTTAAATGTGCGCCATTAATAAATTTTGTAATCGTGCATGGTATTGTTGTATTTACCTTAGTACGCTGCTACGCTTTATTATATTCATATTTATCCAGGATATACCCACATCAGCGAATTGTTTTTCAGTGGGGTCCTGCAACTTTAGATACATTAATTCAATATTTATAGCCATGCACCATTTACAGCAACACATCATACAATATAATTATTTAAGAGTATTAATAAAGCCTGATTTCCACTCCTGAAACGAAACGTGAAACACAACGCACTTCTCTTTGTTTCAAAACTACATTAATATCGCATTATCGCGCTTATCGGCAACATGGAAGTACGCGATATCATATTAGTCTGGATCGGTTTATTCTTACAAGGAAATATCACTCATGTGCAGTTGGAACTTAATATTTAGTACTTCCGCGTCTGAAATATGTTTTGCCTGTGTTATAGTACTGAAAATATAGTTTGTAAATTAAAGCGTTTATAAAGTATGAATTATTTAATTAATTTGAACATCAACTGCAAGTTCAAACTTGACTACTTGACGGTTGTGATTTTGACTATATACCGCTTGTTCCACTGCAGTGATCACTTTGAACAAAATTTGAGAGAACAGAACTTATTTCTGGAAGTTTAGGAATATGAAGGGTTCGGTGGGCCATAAGTTGTGTGCTTGATAGTAGGCCTACAATTCAAGTTGTAAGCAGGTTGCATGCGACACTAGTCTTAGACAAAAGTTGTGTGGTGTAAATCCATAGTAGGAGGTATAGATCGCCGACTCCTCATTAATTCTGAAGACTAGAAACGAGACGTGACAAAAATGAAAAATCCAAGATAGCGGAACAAGCGGGCGAGGGCTGAGCAGTAGGCTACAGGTGAACCGAACCGAAGTGACCAGGGCTGAGCAGTACAAATATAGGCATTTCTAGCCCTTTTTGTGGAAAATCTACAGCGAAATTGGACGCGGTTTTGGTTTTATTTCAGAAAATTATCTTTCTTCGTGTCATTCAAGGACGGTTTGTGGGTTTCCTGCTTTTTGATCTATTACGACCTATCTCTTTTTGAATATTACGACCTATATTTTCGAAGAAAATGGTTGCCTAGCAGAAAGATTATAAGACGCACGTTATAATTTTTATATCACCCAAAGACTAAGTGTGCTTTTTCCGCTTTTGGATCGATTTGACAGTAAAAGGGAGAAGTTATGTGCACAATTAGACCACGTACTGCATGTACTTGCGGTGTTGTTTAAAGCTTGTGACAGAGTCATTATTGGGCAATGGACTGCGCCAGTTTAACTTTTATTTATAATATAGCATTTGTGAATTCTAAACTCCGATTGGCTAAGAGCCGTGTTGATATAACTCATTGTCAACACGGAAACGTCTGGAAATATCTTTCAATTCTTTATGAGTTTAGTCTTTGTGCTATATTATAAAACAAATATAAAACATTTCCCCGTATTTACATACACACAATTTCTCGTTTTCCCAATTTCCACACGTGTTGATGTAATTGTATATCAACACGGAAAATGTTTTATATTTGTTATAATATTTAACAATTTGTTAAATATTCAATGGTTAGCTGTGGTTAGTACTTCTTTTGCAAATAGAAAGTTGGCTATGCCAATGGGAAGTTTTTAATGTTTAAAACGTCCACTATACGTCTATATATATGAACTGCGAGCTAGATAATCT